GAAGATCGAATGCAACTCATAATAGGGGCCTAAAACACAATTACGGCGACATCGAATTCAGCTGCTTATGACAAGGTCCAATTAAAATTTTTACAAACAATAAGATTATTAATTTTTGACAAAAACTAATACAGTATTTTTCAATTTCGATTTAAAAACTTGAGAATATTTAGCATATGGCCACAATGGATCAAGGTTGGATAAATATTGACATTTGTGTCAATCGACTGCCTTGTAAGGTTGCATTTGAGAAGGAAAGAGAAGTGGGCAACAATTGTATCCCCTTTTGTAAAAAGGTAGTAGGAAAAGTAGTCTGGTAGTGCTGAAAAGCGTTTTCTATATACAAATTTAATTAAATATCCACATAATAGACAAAGAATTAACTTTTTACGGCCATATAGATATAAAAAATGAAATAAATGAATATTAAAATAAAATTCTCACCAAAGAAAAATCTATAGACAAATATNTTTTTTTTTTTTAATTTAAATATTTTAGTCTTGCTAATCATTATATTGGTTACATTTAAAATTTAGATCTTCAATATCGTAATCTAATTACATTTGGTTTTTTAAACATGTAATTTTTTTTTAATGTTTTTTTCTTTTTTCTCTAATCAGTCTTGTTAATAATTATATTGGTTACACTTTAAAAATATCTCTTCAATATCGTAATTTAATTACATTTGGTTTTTTTNTTAGCATATGGCCACAATGGATCAAGGTTGGATAAATATTGACATTTGTGTCAATCGACTGCCTTGTAAGGTTGCATTTGAGAAGGAAAGAGAAGTGGGCAACAATTGTATCCCCTTTTGTAAAAAGGTAGTAGGAAAAGTAGTCTGGTAGTGCTGAAAAGCGTTTTCTATATACAAATTTAAATAAATATCTACACNAAAATTTTTACAAACAATAAGATTATTAATTTTTGACAAAAACTAATACAGTATTTTTCAATTTCGATTTAAAAACTTGAGAATATTTAGCATATGGCCACAATGGATCAAGGTTGGATAAATATTGACATTTGTGTCAATCGACTGCCTTGTAAGGTTGCATTTGAGAAGGAAAGAGAAGTGGGCAACAATTGTATCCCCTTTTGTAAAAAGGTAGTAGGAAAAGTAGTCTGGTAGTGCTGAAAAGCGTTTTCTATATACAAATTTAAATAAATATCTACACAATAGACAAAGAATTAACTTTTTACGGCCATATAGATATAAAAAATGAAATAAATGAATATTAAAATAAAATTCTCACCAAAGAAAAATCTATAGACAAATATTCCCATATATTCAAAATAAACCATGGTTTCATTGAAATTCCTGTATATATTAAGCAAAATTAATGGAATTCAAACAAATCCTTTATTCAAAGGGATTATATGAAGAAATATACAAATAGTAAAGATGCAATTGATAAAATGCATATTTATAAAAATAAATCTTTTAAAAATTATTATATTTGTTGCATTTAAAGATTAGAGGTTTAAAATCTTTAATTGAATTACATTTAGTTTTTTTTTTAATTTAAATATTTTAGTAGTGTTTTCTACTATTTTCTCCATTCAGTCTTGCTAATCATTATATTGGTTACATTTAAAAGTTAGATCTTCAATATCGTAATCTAATTACATTTGGTTTTTAAAACATGTAATTTTTTTTTAATGTNTTGTAAGGTTGCATTTGAGAAGGAAAGAGAAGTGGGCAACAATTGTATCCCCTTTTGTAAAAAGGTAGTAGGAAAAGTAGTCTGGTAGTGCTGAAAAGCGTTTTCTATATACAAATTTAATTAAATATCCACATAATAGACAAAGAATTAACTTTTTACGGCCATATAGATATAAAAAATGAAATAAATGAATATTAAAATAAAATTCTCACCAAAGAAAAATCTATAGACAAATATTCCCATATATTCAAAATAAACCACAGTTTTTTTTTTTTAATTTAAATATTTTAGTCTTGCTAATCATTATATTGGTTACATTTAAAATTTAGATCTTCAATATCGTAATCTAATTACATTTGGTTTTTTAAACATGTAATTTTTTTTTAATGTTTTTTTCTTTTTTCTCTAATCAGTCTTGTTAATAATTATATTGGTTACACTTTAAAAATATCTCTTCAATATCGTAATTTAATTACATTTGGTTTTTTTTAAATGTAAATTTTTGGTAATGTTTTCAACTATTTTCTCCAATCAGTCTTGTAAGTCATTATATTTGTTACATTTAAAAATTAGATCTTGAGTATCGTAATTTAATTACATTTGGTTTTTTAAATATGCAAAGGGTGCACTTGACCAACCCAAAGGCTGCAGTGGTAAAAATTCCTGCAACAGCGAATGTGGACGGACATTCAAATGATCTTGACCTGCACAAGAAATTATCTTTATTAATATTAGCACTTTCACTTGTATGGCGTGGTATACATACTTGTAAATATGCAAAGGCTGCAGTTGACTAACCCAAAGGATGCAGTAGTAAAAATCTCTGTACCAGCTAATGTGGACGGACACACAAACGATCCTGGCCTGCGTAAGAAAATATCTTTATTAATATTTGCACATTCACTTCCATGGGGTAGTATACATTTATTTATTTCTTTATTAATATTTGCACTTTCACTTTTATGGGGTGGTATACATACTTGTAAATATGCAAAGGCTGCACTTGACTAAACCAAAGGATGCAGTAGTAAAAATCCCTGCACCAGCTGATATGGACGGACACGCAAACGATCCTGGCCAGCACAAGAAAATATCTTTATTAATATTTGCACTTTCACTTTCATGGGGTAGTATACATACTTGTAAATATGCAAAGGCTGCAGTTGACTAAACCAAAGGATGCAGTAGTAAAAATCCCTGCACCAGCTAATGTGGACGGACACACAAATAATCTTAACCTGTACAAAAAAATATCTTGATTAATATTTGCACTTTCGCATTTACGGAGTGGTATACTTACTTGTAAATATGCAAAGGCTGCACTTGAGCAAAGTAGTTCCGAGTGGACTGCACCAGCCATACGTGGACGGATACACAGGGATCCTAACACGCAAAACTTACTTGCAACGGCTGCACTTCTTGTAAAGCGCTACTTTTTCAATACAAATTATGAATAACTCCGATACCCTGCAAGTAAATATGTAAATTATTGTTTTAGTTCAAAATATTTTCATTATTTTGATTTTTTTGGCATACTTACTAGGGATGCACGATATTCATCGATATTCGATATTATCGATGATACGACTAAAATATCGATGTTTTATAATTGATTGCAAACTATGTGGAACATCGGCACATCGATACCTTGCACACATAATCGAAGCGTCGATGATTCGAGATATTCACTGTTCATACATATATCGTCGCCTAGGTAAGCCGTAAGCGCAATTTTGACGATTTTTAGTTTTAGATGCAGTTATACGTTTAGAAATACATGCCAGTATAAATGAACCTTCATTTCCATTTAACACGCGTGTTTTCTCAGACCGTATGCGTACCTTAATCATACACTTGTACTACTGCTGTATGCATATGGCTGTATTAATGTTTCAAACATACTAAAATGCATTAATGGAACAGTATTAAAGCATTCTTACAAGATCCCCATAGGTAAATGCTACTTTTCTGATACATTTTAATATACGGGGACATACAAACAAGTAGCACTTACATATGCAAATGCATATCTTGTAAAAGCCCGTTTGTGCTGAAAATAGTGTTAAGATTATCCTTGAAACCTTGAGGGATTTTCCCAAATATCTTGCGGCTCGTATCGCTGGATTGTTAAGTAAATGCTAATGATGACCAAATTGGAGTATAATTAACTTTATTGTACAACAAACAACTTACAATACTTGATATTACAGTAAAACACTTTGCAATACTTGTTAAAGCAATAACAACGCTTTACTAAACTTGTTAACACAATTAAACTTATAGCTTGCTTAGTCGCAACTCACTTCTCTGCTCACTTTACTTGTAGCTTGCTAACTTGTAACTGTCCCACTTCGCTGTGGCGGCGCCCTTATATACCTGCGCTCGTACTNCATTCTACGTCTTTCCTCGAACATTCTGCCTCTTTCTCGTTGTTCGCTTCGCGTTTCCGCAGTATTCGTCTCACTGCCCTCCACCTAAGTCTGATCGTCCCGATCAGAAAACGCGTTTATAAATGTCTTCACAGACGTTTTCACATTTCACAAACAAGCAGAAATAACAATGGTTGACAGTAACACAAAATGTATGCTACCATACGTTAAAAAAATACACCACAAATAAGTGCGCATAATTAGGGGGTATAGGTGTATAAAGCGAAGCGCACATTGGATCAGCAAACCATGATTTTTCGTTGAATCCTAATCACATTCTTCATATATTTCCTTAGTAAGAATTCAATATACAGAGCTTCTTATTAAAACGTTATATTGAATTATGCTCAGTGTTTATATACTACTGCAAATGACGAAAATTCAGGCTATCCAAAAAAACTAATTCACTTCTATCTATATATCTACGTATTTATCTACCTAGTATTTATGGAGTTTGGCGTGTTTGCGGTGACTAATGAAATTCGGGATATAGAAAAATTTCAAAGATACAAAACGAAATGGACCTTCAAAGAAAAAGTGTAAGAATATGTACATGTGTACACGAGTACATATGTAAATATAATATATATATTTCAATTTCTCTATTTACTATGCCCGCACTGTATGTAATATTCCAACCTATGTCTTGCTCTCATGTGTTTAACACATATGCCCGTGCCTAACCATGGGTGCATTTAACTATGTATGTATAGATGAATGTACATTTGTACATATAACTTAGGTATTAGCACTTACCAATCTCGCATGTGATGTAGGCGCCTGCATACAGGAGATGGAGAGGCTGGAATCAAAAAGTTATGGAAATGCAAAGAAACAAGAAAAACTAGCAAGAGTTTGGCTGCATACTAGAGTGGGAGCATTCATAGGTGGGTAAATGTCATGATTGTGCTGTAGCGTTCTTTCACTCCAGGACGGTCACTAGCATACATCACTACGCCATTTACCCTCCAACCACCAACGAGGTGAAATCGCAACAAAATTTAAAACTAATTGGTGAGATTAAACGTTCTAATATTTGCA